ATGGCCACCTCAGGGGTGTCTCTGGCCTAGTGGTTTGAGTGCTGAACTGTGACTCTAGAGACCAGGGTTCGATTCTCAGTGGCCACAAAACCCACTGCGCTAACCTTGGGCGAGTCACACTCTCTCAGCCTCAAGGGAAGACAGTGGCAAAACCTCCTCTGAACAAGTTTTGTCAAGGAAACCCCACGATAGGTTTGCCTCAGGGTCGCCATAAGTCACCACCACCACACAGGGACGAGTCACACTCTCTCAGCCTCAGAGGAAGGCCATGGCAACCTTCCTCTGGAAAAAAAAACACCCTATAATAGGGTCGCCATAAGTCACAAACAACCTGAAGTCACACAACCACCACCGCCGCCGCCGCTACTCGTCCGCCATTTTGAGCCGACTCCTTCCTCCCTCCCTTCGCCTCCTGCCCTGAGGGGAAGGCCAGAGCCAGCCAACGGCGCTGGGTGTGGCCTTCCTCCTCCTCCATCTTCTTTTTACCCGGCTTGTATCCCTTTCTTGGCAGCCCCTGAGTCTCCCTCAGTGGCTGCGTTCTCCTGACGTCTCCTTTCCCCTTCCTCCCGGACTGCGGCTCCTCCTCCTCCTCCTCTCCTTCTTCTTCTTCCTGCCGAGCGGGCCTTGGCTTGGCTTGGCTTGGCTTGGCTTGGCATAGCTTAGGGGCCTCTGTTTTGGAGGAAGGCAGTCAGTCAGTCCCGTCATGGCGGCCTCCCTCAGGCAGCGTTTCGACAAGTTCCTCCACGAGAAGAACTGCCTGACCAACCTCTTGGAGAAGGTGGAGAGCAAGACGGGCGTGAGCCGGACCTACGTCGCCCTCGGTGAGTCCTGGAGGAAGGAAGGAAGGAGGCCTCTCCGGCTGCCTTCGTTTCCCTGTCTATCATGGGGCTTTCTGGGCAAGATTTTCTTCAGAGGGGGTTGGCCATGGCCTTCCTCTGAGGAGGCTGAGAGAGTGTGACTTGCCCAAGGTCGCCCCAGTGGGATCTCATGCCCGAGCCAGGGATTCGAAGGCTCTGGAAAATCAGTATCTTGTAGCACCTTTGAGACTAACTGTGTGAAAGAAGCTATAAGCTATCATAGACTATGGGCCTTTGCAGACTGCCAGAAACAGTGCACATTAAATTGA